ATTAATGCTGGGGTGAGATGATATCTCATTGTTGTTTTGATTTGCATCTCTCTAATGATTAATGATCATGAGCAATTTCTCACGTGTCTGTTGGCTGCCTGTATATCTTCTTTGGTGAAGTGTCTGTTCAAGTCTTTTGCCCATTTGTGAATTGGGTTATTTGTCTTTTTGGTGTTGAGGTGTTGAAGTTTTCTGTAGATTTTGGAGCTAAGTCCTTTATCAAATATGTCATAGACAAATATTTTCTCCCAATCTGTAGGTTCTCTTTCTACCCTTTTGACGAAATCTTCTGATATGCACAAGAATTTAATTTTTAAAAGGTCCCAGTCATCTAGCTTCTCTTCTATCTCCTGCACATTTTGGGTTATGCTTGACAGTCTATTTATGCCATAAATCAGGGCTCCTAGATTTGCCCCTATTTATCTTTAATGAATTTTATAGTTTTGGGTTTTACATTTAAGTCTTTGATCCAGCTTTAGTTTGTTTTTGTGTATGGGGTGAGGTATGGGTCTTGTTTCATTTTTCTACAGGTGGATATCCAGTTTTGCCAGCACCATTTGTTAAAGAGGGTCTCTCCATATTTGACTGAACAGATGCAATGACAAGGAGTCCTTCAGGCAGCACCTTCCATTATTTGCTGAAAGTTCTGCTCTTTGTAACATATCCCCTCACAGGCCCTCACTTTCTTCCGGGACACTACAGAATACATCTGCTGCCTTGCCCATTGTCTTTCAAATGCATAGGGTTGTCTTACATGTCTTTTGAACACTTCTAAGCATTTATACTTCTATGAATGTGGCTAAATGACTTTTGAATATTTAACTACCTTGGCTGTCCTTTTCTAGCACCCTCTAGAGCTGAGGTCAGCAAACTTTTTCCATAAAAGGCCAGAGAGTAAATATTTTCTACTTTGTAGAATGCAGTCTCCTTTTCAACTACTCAATTCTGTCACTGTAGTGTGAAAGCAGCCATAAACAAAATGTAGAGAATGGGCAGGGCTGCATTTGGTCTGAGGGTTGTCTAGTCCTGATCTACGTTGTTTATGATGACCAGAGACTAGAGGCTAGTGGTTAAGAGCTGAGCTTGGGAGACAAAGACCTGAATTCAAATCTTAGATCTACCACTTAACAGGTGGGTGACCTTGGCAGGTTTTTAAACTTCTCCATGCTTTATATTCTTCATCTGTGGGGAGCGGAGTTAATTATAGTTTCAACTTCAGAGGGTTATTGTGAAGATGAAATGGTAAAATGCATATAAAGTATTTAGCACGAGCATGGCACATGGTAAGTGCTGAATTAACATTAGGCAGCAGCAGCAACAATATCATAATTGGTTGAAAACAGTTCTCCAGATGTGGCTTCTCCAGTTGTCTCTGTGGTTCTTATAAGATTTTAAGAATTGGTTTATTATTATACTTTACTTTTTATGAAATGTTATACTACTTTGCAAGATATTTTCACATGCTATTTCACTACCTTTAAATAACAGCTGTAGTAAACAATTTTATCAAAATGTATACTGCAATATGAGAATATAATCTGTTATAAAGTACTTTGTTACATCATACAGTTAAGGTCAAATCACAGCATCTGTACAGTTGGTAATGGACATGGCACCTTTCCTGGAACCACCAATGTGGATGCTATCCTTGCTATTTCATACAAGCATTATTAAGAACTACGTGGTGAAACAAAGTAGTTCCATTTGGTCTCTTTTTTCTCCTTTCATCCTTTCAAGTAACTAAGAAAAAGCAAAAGAATAAACACAAACCTGGTAAACAGGGAAAGCAAAAAGACCAGAATACCATTCTCTGACCTTGGGATTGGTGAAATCCAGGTAAGAGGAGAGACCTGTAGAGGCAGAACAGTAGGCAGCCTGTTAAGAACAGTGGTCCTCATAGTGCATGTGTCCAACAGAAGAGTATCAGATGTTAGAGCTGGGTAATCAATGGGCACCATACATCAAACATAAAAGGTAGCTGACACAGAGGCATAATATAGGGAGACACAAATGAAGACCTTTCAACACCAGATACACAGGGGAATTCAATGAATGAGCATTAAGACCAAGCTGGTCCCTCAAAAATGGCCTAAGATATCCCAGTAAGGATGGCAAATATCCTGGAGTGACCCTTCTGTTCTTAAACAGAACAGAGAAATGTTTTATAAGTGATGTAATGAAGGGAAAAGAGATGAATGGGGTTTCTCTGCAGTGCACGGATTTATAAGAGGGCCTCCCTAGACATCAAAATCAAAGCATGCCTTATGGCTGTTTCCTTTTGTCCTACTAAGACTTCAATAATTTTTGAAGTGAAGAATCCAAAGTTGCCAGAGGCAGCTGAGGTTATCCACGAAAGGCTGGCAAGTCAAAGCTATGGACTAAAAGAGCAAAGAGAAACCACAGAGAGAGAACCCTCCTCCTGCAGTTCTTTTTCCCCCCTCCCTTTTCCCTTTTTTTTCATAACCTGGTGTTATATCCCTATTGCTTAAGAAATAGCATGCCACTAAAGTTTCCTTGTTTATTCATCATTCATGCCTTTGTTTATTGCTTGATAAAGGTAAACAAAGCACTCTGTGCCAGGTACTATGAAAGACACAAAAGGTGGCAAAAGCATCTGTTAAAGGAACTTAAAATGTAGCCGGAGCAGCAAGACATCTACAGGGAACGAGAATGATGGCCATGAGGCCTTCATTAATTGAGGCTGAACAAGCAGAAATGATAAGTGTATAAAGTGATATCTTACCAGGCCAGCATATCCCTTCAAAGTCTCCCCCTTCATGATTCTTCACAAAGAAGCCCTGTTCTTTGGCCTTAGCATACACTGAGTAGTTGGGATCAACCTTGATGTGGGGGTCACTGATGACCACAAGCTGCCAGGATATAAAGGTTGAAGATCTTGTGAGGTGTTTTTTTTTTTTTTTTTTTTAATAGTTTTGTGGTTCAAATTTTACTCGGAAAGTACTAGTATTGACATATTTCGGACAGAAGTAAAACCCTGTAACTTTCATGTGCTAATGAAAATTTAAACCGATACTAAAACCTGGCCAATACTCTTTTATAATTATTGCTGCCAAAACAAAACATGTTCTTAAGATGGCATTTATTAAATTTCTACCTTTCTGTAGTGCTGGGTGATGGACACAAATGATGTAGTCAGGAGCCCTGACCCGCTAGACTTTTAGAGGCTAAGACAACACTGACATGTTTAAAACAAACAAAACCCAAGAGGACAGGCATATTTAAGGAGGGTGAGAAAAGCTGTGTCCACAGGCATGTGTCTCTAGCATCTCTCTCTGCTTTCCTTATATCATTGCTTCCACTTAGTCAAGTAACACTTCATTTAACTACAACAGACTTCTAATCATCCTTCCTCATCTCTATGCTAATCTATCCTACATATCAAAGTTTATTTCTCCATTGCTTAAAAACATGGAATGTTTCTAAATGCAGACAAAGCAGCTTACAATAAGCTCCTAACCTTTCCAGACAGATTTCTCACTCACTCACTGCCATCAAGTCAAATCCAACGCAGGGGTTTCCAAGGCAGTATCACTAGGAAGCAGATTGCCCAACCTTCCTTCTGAGTGGCTGGTGGGTTTGAAACGCCAACCTGGTTAGCAGTGAAATGCCTTAGGTACTATATCCCCAGAGCTCCAGATTCCTCACTACTCACTTGTATATGTCTGATGCTACCCTCAAGCCAGGCTCTGGGCTCTTTCCAAACACCCCTGGGTACTCTAGCCTCCGGCTGCACTGCCTCTTCTCCACCAGTCAGAGACTCATCAGGACCCATCTAAAATGCACCTCTGGCATAAAGCTGTGCTCAGGACTGCCAGTAGGATACCAGCTTCTATCTATTATCCTGTCCTCCACTCTGATCCTTCTTTGGCCCTTATCTTACTATCTTGTATTGTGGTTGTATGCTTGACTTTCTTCCACTCACTATAGGACCCTAAAGAGCTCATCTCTGTGTTCAATGTCAGTACTACCACAGCATCTTGAACATACCAATGCCTCAATAAATAACTGCTTATATGGACATAGAGTCTGGAGTCAGGGAGACCAGGGTTCCAGTTTACTTCTAGCAGGTTGTTATATCCTACAGATACTCCCCATTCATAGCTTCTGTCTAGGCGATTAGGTCCTGCTGAAAAAGAGTGGAACAACCGGACTCCCCAAAGCTGACTCCAGGCCAAATGGACTGGGCCTTATGAAGTATTGTTGACAACACATTCTTCAACCAAACTGAAGGGAGTCCACCCTTGGATACATCACACCTGATGGAGGATAACACCAAACTGCACTGGGAACTCTCCTCAACCTATAACTAAGTTTTATTCTACAGGGAACAGCCTTTTGAACAGGGAGACTCAAAAGAACCTGGGCAACTGAATATTAAGTATTCCCAACAACCTGTAGTGAAATATACTTGTGAGCCCATCAAGGCTCTTAAGGTTTTATTTAAAAGGAAACCTATTCTGGGTTAAGACATAAATGTAATTCTAATCAACGCCATGATTATCTTATCCTGAACACCTTCTAGAGAAAAAGGTAGTCTAACACTCTCATAAAACTCCAACACATCCTATTAGACCACACTCCTGGGGCTAGTAATTATTGAGTGTATGCATACTCTCCTTGACACAGAGGGGTATGTATGTATGACAGGATTTTACCTCCACCTTTGGAATAGACTTTTCTTGGCTCACTTCTCAGTTACCCAATTTAGGGTGGCTGAAATCCTTATTTGTTACAATATTCCTCTTATTAATAATAACGCTCTTTATTTGCTGTTGTATTCAATGTCTACCTAGGTGCTTACCTGTCTTCAAGCCTCCAGAATTACAAGCTATTCTACAGGTACCCCTAGTCTCTTCTCCCCAGGCTATGGCCAGAAGATTCCATAAACTGTCCAAACTACAAGAAGCTTACTGACCAGGGATTGAATTCCACCATGTTAGCGCCCAGTCAGCAGGCAGCAGCTAGGATGAGTCATTGCCCCATTTCCCAAAATTGTCGAACAGTAACCATTCTAAGGGGGAATTAGAAAACTGAGTAAAATGTTCCCCAAGAATGTGGAACAGTATCTATTCTAAGGGGGAACTGAAACAGAGTAAAGTAAAAACTATTTCCCCCACCCTGGCACCCAGATGGGAACAGATAAGTAAACTAAATTACCCCCAACTATTTTCTCACCCAGGCCAGTGAGTATTCAATTCCTTAAAGAACTGAATGGAAAACATTCCTTCCTGCAGATGATAGACTGCTAAAAGTATCTTAGAAACAACTTGTAAATTAACTCTGGCCCGGACATGCTCAATAAGGCAGAAAGGAACAAAAGTTAATTGTGGACCCTCTCCCCTCTGCAGGATGAGTGTGAATTCACACCCCAAATTCCTCAACCTTTTGTGAATATGTACAACCCCCCTCTCCTGAAACTTACAAAGGCTGTGTTTGATGGCATCTTGGGAGTTAGATCTGGGTACTGAACTACCCCTACTCCTTGCATGTTGTTGTTATTTGCCGTTGAGTCAGCCCAACTCATAGTGACCCCTCCTTGGGTTTCCAAGGCAGTATAACTATGGAAGTAGAATTGCCCAACCTTCCTTCCAAGGAGTGGCTGGTGGGTTTGAACTGCCAGCCTTCTGGTTAGCAGTCAAGTGCCTTAGGCACTATGCTACCAGAGCTCCTACTCCTTGCATAGCGGCAATAAATAATTTTCTCTCCTCTTAATCTTGGTGTGTAAACTATTTTGGCCTGACTGCGCACTGGGCAGGGACCAGCGTTTGGTCCCATAACACTTCTACTACTAACTCATTGTGGGTCTTTGTGCAAATTACCAAATCACTCTAAGCCTCAGTTCCTTTATCTGAAAAAAGGGAATAATCAGACCTACATCTCATAGTTCTATAATGAGTACATGGAATAATGTGTTTTATCATACTGTCTGGCCCATAATAAGTGCTTGATAAGTGGTAGCTATTTAATTGGGAAATTGAGTGTTTACAGGAGTGGTGTTTCACCCATAAAAGGCCTGGGGGTTCTAAGTAATGGACTGAAAAGGCAACTTTAATCTCCCTGAGAGGGAACAAATGTACAAATGTAGGAACAAACGTCTCAATTTACATGGTACATATGGGGTACCTCCTCCCCTTTTCCTCCCCCCTCCTCCTCTTCATCATTCTATTATCCTCACCACCCCCAAAACAGAAAACTTGCCATTTCCTAGTTTCCTCTCCCATCTTCTATTTCAGTTCTTTCTTTGGCCAGATAGACAGGTGGAGTCCATCAGGTAAGCATGAAGGAAAAGTAGAGGTGTAATAGAGAATCAGACTCCATTTTTGATGTCTGACGGCTAAGAATTTTCAAGCCTGACCCCCACCCCTTACCATCTGCCCACATCTGGGCAAGCTGCCAAGAAGCCCTAGTACTCCCTTCTTTTGTGTCAGTGGAAAGGTTAAACCATGCAAGTCCTGGCCCATTCCTTAAAAAAAAAATCCATTGCTATCAAGTCAATTCTAACTGATAGTAATCCTATAGAAAAAAGTAGAACTGCCCCCACAGGGTTTGCAAGGCTCTAAGTCTATGGAAACAGACTGCCACATCTTTCTCCTGTGGAGCACCAGGTGGATTCAAACTACCTACCTTCATGAAGAATTTGGGGTGTGAGTTCACACTCATCCTGTTATCACCTGATAACAGGGCAGAGGGGAGAGGGTCCACAATTAACTTTTGTTCCTTTCTGCCTTATTGAGCGTCCAGGCCAGAGTTAATTTACAAGTTGTTTCTAAGATACTTTTAGCAGTCTATCATCATCTGCAGGAAGGAATGTTTTCCATTCAGTTCTTTAAGGAATTGAAAGGCATCTGCCTGGGTGGGAAAATGAGAAGGATGGCATGCTTGGTAGGGTTGAGGGTCGAGGAAGGAGGGGGAGGCCTTCAATGAGATGGATTGATACGGTGGTTGCGATGATGGGGATGATGGGCTCGAGTATAGCAGGGATTGTTAGCAGGGATTGCGGGGCTGGCACGGGATGGGGCGGGATGGGGCAGTGTTTCGTTCTGCTGTGCAAGGGGTCGTTATGAGTTGGAAACGACTCGACGGCACTTAACAACAACAACAACAACAACCTTCATGAGCATTTAACCACTGCATCACCATGGCTCCTGGCCCACCCCTTTGCTACCATAAAAACCTGATCAGCTTCCTTTCCTACCTATCTCAAGCCATTTACAAAAAAAAAAAAAGAAAAAATTGTGATTTGAGTGCAAATTTACAAAGCAGATTTGTTTTAGTCTCAAAAGTTAGAACACATTTGGTTTCACAGCACCGATTACAATCCCAACAATAAACAGCTCTCCTCCCATCTCTTCCATGTAACTACCCCTTCCCTGTGTCCTTCTTATCTATGCATTCCTATCTGACCACCTTTCCCCCTATGCAAATCTGCCCTTCTGATCTCTCTCAGTTACTGATCTAAGGGTTGCATCTCCCTGGGGCAGGTGTTCTGCTGGTAGGCCTTTCTACTGTTTGGTTGAAAGCTAATCCACAGAAGTGAGTCCAGTTCTAGGCCCGAATGATAACCTGGCACCATGGCCTTGGGCATTTCACCAGTCTCCATTTGACCAGTAATTCTGGTCATTTTTGTGTTTCTGAATTTTGTTCCACATTTTTCTTCCCTCTCTATCCAGGATCTCCTATTTTGATCCCTTTTTGAGTGATTGGCACTGGTAGCCGGACACCATCTAGTTCTTCTGGTCTCAGGGTTGTGGACTAATTGTTTTCCTATGACTGATTTTTTTCACTCTTCTTTGCTCTAGATGAGGAGAGACCAATAGTTGTATCTTAGATGGCTACTTGAAAGCTTTTGAGACCCTGGTTGCTATTCACCAAAGCAGGATGTAGAACAAAATTTTTATGTACTACACTGTGCCAATTGAGCTCAATGTCCCAAGATGCAGGCCCACTGATTCACTCCCTCAAAGTGCTTAGTTGTCACTGAGAAGCTACTCCAACCTTGTCCCCTGTGTTCTATAATATATATGGGTATTTTTTTAAAAATTTTTTTATTAGGATTTGTGTGAAGATTTACAGAGTAAATTCACTTTTCATACAGCAGTTCACATATACTTTGTCTCATGTCATTGACCAAAATTTAC